TTTGAGGAAAATATTAGCAAATACATTACAGCAACTTATCACAAGAACCATATACTATGACCAGGTAGGATTTATACCAGGAATGCAGGGCTGCTTCAATATTAGGAAAACTATCAGCATAATTGATCATATCAACACCAAAACCAACAGAAACCACATAATCATCTCAATAGAGGCAGAAAAAGCTTTTGACAAAATACAGTACCCATTCCTGTTAAAAACACTAGAGAGTGTAGGAACAAATGGAGTCTTCCTTAAAAAAATAAATAGCATCTACCTAAAACCTTCAGCAAGCATCATATGTAATGGGGACAAGCTAGAAGCATTTCCAATAAGATCGGAGGTGAAACAAGGATGTCCATTATCACCACTGTTGTTCAATATCGTACTGGAAATGTTAGCTTTAGCAATAACAGAAGAAAAAGAAAATGAAGGTATTAGAATAGGCAAAGAAGAAACAAAGCTATCACTCTTTGCAGATGATATAATGATATACTTAGAGAATCCTAGAGATACAAGTAAAAAACTACCTGAAATAATAAATAACTTTAACAAAGTTGCAAGCTATAAAATAAACCCATATAAATTATCAGCATTTCTATATATTACCAACAAAGCCCAACAGCAAGAGACAGAAAGAGAAACTCCATTTAAATTTACCGTAGACATTATAAAATATTTAGGAGTCTACCTCCCAAAACAAACCCAGGAACTATATGAACACAATTACAAAACACTTTTCACACAAATAAAGTCAGATCTAAATAATTGGAAAAACATCATTTGGTCATGGGTAGGCCAAGCTAATATAATAAAAATGACAATTCTACCTAAGCTAATTTACTTATAGCCTATATCAGATTGTGTGTCATCTTGGGGATGGAGGGGGAGAAAAATTTGAAACTCAAAAGCTTATGGAAGTGATTGTTGATAATTCAAAATAAATTAATAAAAAATGAAAAAAAAAGCAAAACTGGATTAAGAATTCTGTTCTTTCTCTTACCTTTTCTTGAATGGATACTTTATTCTATTTTATTTTTATTTTATTTTTATGCTTTTCTTTTTTTCTTTTAATATAAATTTATTTATTTTTAGTTTTCAATATTCACTTCCACAAGTTTTTGAGTTCCAAACTTCTCACCCTTCCCCCCAACCCAAGATAGCATGCATTCTGAATACCCCTTCCCCTCGTCTGCCTTCTCTTCTATCTCTCCCCCCTCCCTTCTCTTATCCCCTTCCCCTTCTATTTTCCCGTAGAGCAGGATAGACTTCTGTACCCCATTTCCTGTATTTCTTATTTCCCAGTTGCATGTGAAAACATTTTTTTAAAACATGTGTTTTTAAAACTTTGAGTTCCAAATTTTCTGTCTTCCTCCCTCCCCACCCACCCTCATTGAAAAGGCAAGCAACTCAATATAGGTTGTACATGTGCAGTTATGCAAAACACTTCCTTACCAGACATGTTGCGAAAAACTAACTCTATTTCCCTTAATCCTATCCTGCCCTCCCATTTATTCTATTCTTTCTTTTGACCCTGTCCCTCTTCAGAAGTATTTGCTTCTGATTACCCTCTTTCCCAATCTGCCCTCCTCTCTATCATCCCCCTGCTCTTTTGTCCCCTTCTCCCCCTATTTTCCTGTAGGGTAAGACAGATTTCCATACCCAATTGAATGTGTATGTTATTCTCCTTAAGCCAAATCCTATGAGAATAAGATTCCTCATTCCCTCTCACCTTCCCCTGTTTCCCCTCCACTGTAAGAGACTTTTTTTTGTTTTTTTGTGAGATAATTTATCCCATTCTACCTCTCCCTTTCTTCTTCTCTCAGTATCATCCTCTCTCATCCCTTAATTTTATTCTCCAGATATGACCCCTTCATCTTCAACTCACCCTGTGCCCTCTATCTATCTATCTATATATACATACATGCAATTTTTTTCCTTCAACTACCCTAATAGTGACAAAGTTCTCATGAGTTACAAATATCATCTTTCCATGAAGGAATGTAAACAGTTCATCTTAATGAGTCTCTTATGATTTCTCTTTCCTGTTTACCTCTTCATGTTCCACTGGAGTCCTGTATTTGAAAGTCAAATTTTCTGTTTAGCTCTGGTCTTTTCATCAGGAATGCTTGAAAGTCCTCTATTTCACTGAATGACCATTTTTTCCCCTGAAGGATTATACTCAGTTTTGCTGGGTAGGTGATTCTTGGTTGTAATCCTATCTCCTTTGCCCTCCAGAATATTATATTCCATGCCCTGCGGTCCTTTAATGTAGAAGCTGCTAAATCTTGTGTTATCCTGATTGTGTTTCCACAGTACTTGAATTGTTTCCTTCTGGCAGCTTGTAATATTTTCTCCTTGACCTGGGAACTCTGGAATTTGGCTACAATATTCCTAGGAGTTTTCCTTTGGGGATCTCTTTCAGGAGGAGATCTGTGGATTCTTTCAATTTCTATTTTGCCCTCTGGTTCTAAACTATCAGGGCAGTTTTCCTTGATAATTTCTTGAAAGATGATGTCTAGGCTCTTTTTTTGATCATGGCTTTCAGATAGTCCAATAATTTTTAAATTCTCTCTCCTGGATCTATTTTCCAGGTCAGTTGTTTTTCCAATGAGATATTTCACATTGTTTTCTAATTTTTCATTCTTTTGGATTTGTTTTACAGTGTCTTGATTTCTCATAAAGTCACTGTCTTCCAATTGCTCTATTCTAATTTTTAAGGAAGTATTTTCTTCAGTAATCTTTTGGACTTCCTTTTCCATTTGGCCAATTTTTCTTTTTAGGGCATTCTTCTCCTCATTGGCTTTTTGGACCTCTTTTGCCATTTGGGTTAGGCTGTTTTTTAAGGTGTTATTTTCTTCAGTATTTTTTTGGGTCTCCTTTAGCAAGCTGTTGACTTGTTTTTCATGATTTTCTTGCATCACTCTCATTTCTCTTCCCAGTTTTTCCTCTACTTCCCTTACTTGCTTCTCAAAATCCCTTTTGAGCTCTTCCAAGGCCTGGGACTGATTCATATTTTTCTTGGAGGCTTTGGATGGGAGCTTTGATTTTGTTGTCTTCTTCTGGTTGTATATTTTGATCTTCTTTTTCACCAAAGTAAGATAATATAGTCTGACTCTTTTTGCGCTGCTTGCTCATGATCCCAGCCAATTACTTGAGTTTTAAACTCCTTGTTAAGGTAAGAGTCTGCTTCCAATGTGGAGAGTGTACTGTCCCAAGCTTCAGGGGTTTGTGTAGCTGTTTTCAGAGATACTTGTAGGGACCTGTAAATTTTCAGTTCTTCCAAGATGGTATGATAAGGGGTGAGGTGTTTACTCCTTTCCTGGCCTGTGACCACAAGTATTCCTTTCTGTCCTGTAACTGTGAGGAGGGGTTCCTCTCCACAGCCACTACAAGCTCCACCACACCAGCACTCCTCCTCACCCCAGCACCACTGCCCAGAACTGTGACCCAGATCCACACACGGGCAAAGCAAGAGATTCCTGCCTCAGCACTGGCAATGAGATCCCTGCAGTCCCTCTCTGATCAGCCACTGGATTCCCCCTCAGTCTGTGGGCGGAAGCTCGGGAAGCAGCTGCCCCCCCCCCCACGCTCTTGGGGAATGAAGCTGAAACCCCGCCTTCCTTTCTCAGCATGGACAGAAACAGACTTTCACCACTGACCTTCTAAATTGTCTTTGGCATTCGTGGATTGAGGAGTCTGGAAACCTCCACAGCTGCCCGTGATTCAGTCCTCTGAGGCCTGTTCCAGGTTTGCTGCGGTCTGCGCGCCCATGCTGCGCTGCACTCCCAGCCCGGCGCGATACACCTTTCTGATCAATCATCCAGGTTGTCTTGGGCTAGAAATTTGTTTCACTCTGTCTTTTTGTGGGTTCTGCTGCTTCAGAATTTGTTTAGAGCCATTTTTTATGAGTATTTGGAGGGGTTTGGGGTCACTGCTTTCACTCCGCCATCTTGGCTCCGCCCCTCTGGATAATTTATTCTAGATGTGCTAGTGGGAAATGACTTGGATGCTGAGCTCACTTAAATGACAGAGATTTTCCCTTTGGGAATATCTAATTTCCCCATCCATGGCTTACAAAAGCAATAAAGTTTCTTTACCCTACCTGTCCCATAATATGATGAACTGTGGTCCCTTTGTAGACCACTGTTTTAAAAAATTCATTCAGGAGCTTTGCCAACTTCTTGTAAACATCCTTAGTGATAGAAATTCTTGGACTTTTGAGGGGAAGACAATATTGTTTCACTGATTTTTATGGTGAATGAACAAGATGCACAACACCATTTGGGGTCAAGAAGGATATGTAACCCTAAGGTAACAGGCTGATTTTCAAGGGCAAATTTTTAAAATGAGAAATTCCATAAACTTTTTGAGAAATGTCAGCACCCCAGGAGCTATGTGCATAGCTTCCAAAGGTGACTATATGAAAAGACAAAATACATCTGCCACATGTCAGTTCTATTCTATCAGTCTTAAAAATTGTATAGCATTACTTTATGTGTGTATGCACACCTCACATGTGAAGGGTTTTAATGAGATGTTACAGACAATTTAGCTAGGTCCATAGGGAATTGAACAAGACAAAATTGGCTCATTTTAAAATGGGAAAGATTTCTGTTGTACTCAGTAAGATATAATGAAAAGAGCACTGCCTATATAGTCAGAGTAATTGGATTAAAATTCTCATTCTGATATTTAATACCTTTGTGACCCTGGGGAAGTCACTTAACCTCTCTGGGCCTCAGTTTCCTCATCTGTAAAATGAAGAGTGTTGGACTGGAGGGCCTCTGAGGTCTCATCCATTTCTAGAACTATTATCCTTATATTAAAGATAGTTGGGGAATTTGTGTCTCTCTTCAATAAGATGATGATTGCCATCTCTTTTTGATAGTCACTTTACCAAAAGAATTGGTTCAAACAGAATTAATTCCTAACTGCTCTAAGGTAGAAAGAATTGCCTGACCATGCAATATTGAAATTATATTGTGTTTCTACCATAGGCTTTCCTGGGGTTTGCTGTATGGTGGCTACATTTTTATTTTGGCAAATCTGCTGGCTGTTATCACAAAATCTTCTGAATTTGTAGTCCTGACTGGTTACTTCATGGTATTCAGTCTGTTTTTCCTATATGGTCTCTCTTTGGTGAGTAGGTAAAGTTTTTTCCCCTACTTTAGTTCTCATGAAGATCAAATTTTGTCAAGTAAGGACATCACGACAGTCATTCCTTGTCTGTTCTTTTTCTCTATTTGCCCAAGAAAGACTAAAGACAAGGCCTTAACAGACATTAGTTTTATAATACAATGGTTCATCTTGCATGATGTCTATTAAGGATTCTCAAAGATCCAGCTGTCATCTGAGGTTCTTCTTCT